CAGAGTTGGTAAGACAACTCCCACCTGTTCATGCTCTCTGTATGTGTGTATATATATCTCCTCAATATATGTTCCACTCTATATGCATCCGAAGAAGTGGGCTGTAGCCCACGAAAGCTTATGCTCTAATAAATTTGTTAGTCTCTAAGGTGCCACAAGTACTCCTGTTCTTTTTGCGGATACAGACTAACACGGCTGCTACTCTGAAACCTAAGGTTATTTAGAAATCAAGGCAGTACGCAGCCAACATTCATAACATTCATAACTTTGAATACAAAAATGATACATGCACACAAATAGGATTAATACATTCAGTAGATCATAACTTTTGAGATATGTTACCTGGCATATGTAGCATAAAACACATTCTAAGCATATTTCCATAAAGCCTTATGGGATGGCATCACACACCCCAGCAGAATTCCAGAACTGAAGTATTTGGGCTTGCGCTGAAATTTTTCAGTAGTCACATTTTTTTTTTTTGCCATTTTTCCAACAGGAAACAAAGGAACAAACATTTTTCAACCAACTCCACTGGGAATTTGCAGAGCTAAAAATCAGGGTCCCCCAGAGCTTGAGCGAAAGGGGCCAGACTCTAGAAGCTGTAATAGGCCCGCTGTAGATCAGGCATAGATGGACACGCCCCACGTATGTCCCACCTGAATGGTCAAAATAGTGGTTTAAGGGGTATCGATGCCTTATGGTGGCAGTTCTCTGTATCACCCACTGGTGAGTCTATGTTACAAATCCTGCCCCCCATGCCAACCTACAATGGCTATGAGTCTGTTACAATCTTAAGCTGTAGCAGCTCCTGGTTTTAGTGCTGAGGTCGCTGGTTCAGTCTCTGGTGTGTCAGCCAAGAGGGTAAATGTCACATGTGCACGGGGAGATTTCACCCTCTATGTTCCTAGCCAAGGTCCCTTGTCCTATGCAGCACCCTGGAGCTCTGGCTTGTGTTGGCCTCAAAATAGGGTTTCTGTGGCACCGTTGCTTTAGCCACAGTCCAGGGTCTTACCGGGGTGTTTCCACGAGGATGATAAATCAATGAGGCGAGTCAGGGATATTCTCAGTGTGATCTTCTTTATTCACCAACCCACCCCCCGCCCCCAAACAAACGTACCAAGTCCTGTTTCCCTGAGTGCTGTGGGAACAAACCGCAGCAGGCAGCTTCCTGGCTGCAAGATCCCCATGTCTGCCCCTCCAGCAGGTTCTGTGCCCAAGAAGCTCCGTCCCTGCTTCATCCCAGAGTCACACTCGCTCTCTTCCTCCTGGCTTTTTGCTCCCACAGCCCAGCCCCCACGTTTGCAATCAGGGAACCTCCCCCTCATGGCCCCACGTCCTAGCTCTGCCCCGCCACGTGGCCTGCTGCCTTGGGTGGTTGCCCGACAGCTGTTATTACCACATAAAGGGGCTGGGTTGCTCCTTCTTTTGATCTTGAAAGCGGATGCTCAGCGCCCACTCCCTGGATGGCTGCCACTGACTCCTTACAGCACAACATGGGGGCATATAGGGTGCATGGGCACCTTGGTAGATCCCTGAACTAACGTGAGACCCAGGGTGAGACCTGGCCTCCTCTCTGTGCCGCTCCTGGACCCCTGCCCTGTTTGCCTTGCAGAGGGAGAACGAACGAGAGCACAAAGTGCGGCTGGCTGTGGGTAACGGCCTGAGGGTGGAGGTCTGGAAGGAATTCCTCCAGCGCTTTGGGCCCATCTGCATCTGCGAGTTCTACGGGGCCACAGAGGGGAACACTGGGTTCGTTAACTACACGGGGAAGATTGGAGCGGTGGGAAGGGCCAACTTCATCCATAAGGTGAGGAATGCTACTCTGCCTCTCCCCTACCATGGTGGTCATTTCCCTAGTGCCCATTACCGGTTTCTTCCCCAGCTGGGACAGGTGTGGAGGCTGAGCACAGATGATGAGGGTCTCTCTAGCCATTTGGCCTCTCTTACTGTGGTTCATCAACAACACTGAGATGAAACAGATTCCTGCATCCATTTCCCCTGGGATGTGAGGTTATGTTGATATTTCGCCCCCACCGGCTGTGAAAAGTGTTGGTGCGTCAGAAAGAGTCCGGTTAGGTTAGGTCCTGGGAGGCTTGGGGATTGAAAGTGAAAGGCCTTAAGGACCCCAATCTATTTAGCTTATCAGAAAGAAGACTGAGTGGTGAAGAAGTATCTTCATGGATAGGAGACACCAGACTCTTTAACCTAGTGGGAAAAGGCAAGACTGGCTGCCTTCTGGAAGAGCTGTTAGCCAAACATGAGTTGTATTGCTCAGGACAGGGACAATCAGGAGAAATTCTCTGGCCTTTGGGTATGTCTACACTACGGGATTAATCCGAATTTAGATAATTCGAATTTGGGAAACAGGTTGTATAAATTCGATTGTGCGCGGCCACACTAAGCACATTAATTCGGTTTTTAACCACATTAATTCGGTGGTGTGCGGCCACACTACCCCATTAATTTAACCACAGTAATTCGGTGGTGTGCGGCCACACTAACCCTAATTCGAATTAACAAAATCGATTTTGGCGCTACTCCGCTCGTCGAGGTGGAGTACAGAAATCGATTTTAAGTGCCCTTTAATTCGAATTAACTGGCTCTGTAGTGTGGACGGGTGAAGGGTTAATTCGGATTAACGCAGCTAAATCCGATTTAAAGTCGTAGTGTAGACCAGGCCAAAGTTATACAGCAGGTCAGATTGCAGGCTTGGCTACATTTGAAACACTGCTGCTGTAACGCTTCAGAGTGGACACTCCCTGCACCAGCGGAGGGGTTCTCCTGCATGCCAGACAGAGAGAATTTCGGTTTTACCCCACTGGCTAACCACAAGTCACACAAGCAATTCCCTTAGACACTCGAGTTTCCCAGTAGCACCACCAGTGCCACTCATTATGGGGATGAATGGTTATGAAAACCAATACCCCAGTAAAAGAAAAAGGTTCTCCTGATCCCAAAGGACCAAGCCCCAGACACAGGTCAATATACAAATCAGATCTTACCCACAAATCATGCTGTTGCCAATCCCTTAGAATCTAAAATCTAAAGGTTTATTCATAAAAGGAAAAAGATAAAGATGAGACTAGAATTGGTTAAATGGAATCAATGACATACAGTAATGGCAAAATTCTTGGCTCAGGCTTGTAGCAGTGATAGAATAAACTGCAGGCTCAAATCAAGTCTCTGGAGTTCATCCCCAGCTGGGATGGGTCATTCAGTCCTTTGTTCAGAGCTTCAGTTTGTAGCAAAGTCCCTCCAGAGGCAAGAAACAGGATTGAAGACAAGATGGATGAGATGCAGCTGCCTTTTATATTCTTTCTCTTGTGGGTGGAAACCCTTGGTTCTCCTGTGCAAGATCACAGCAAGATGGAGTTTGGAGTCACATGAGCAAGTCACATGTCCATGCATGACTCAGTTCTTTACAGGCCGACGCCATTGCCTACCTGTTAGTTTGAACGTTCCCAGGAAAGCTCAGATGTGGATTGACGTCTCCCAAAGTCCATTGTCAGCTAAGTGTTTATTGACTGGGCACTTACTGAGAATAGTCCTTTCTCAAGAAGCTGACCAAATGCTTCACTGAGGCTACTTAGACTCAAAACACATTGATATACAAGTACATAGCCAATATTCATAACTTCAACTACAAAAATGACACACCCATACAGATAGCATAATTATAATAAGCAAATCATAACCTTTCCATAGACACCCCACACGACAACCTTTGTACAATATTTGCTGAAAATATATAACAGTGGTTGCAACAATGATCTATACGGTCACAGGTTATGTCGGTAACGTCACACCCCCAACGCTGTACATTATTTATTAGATATATTATGTTAGCACTAGGACCCCCAGTTATGGACCAGGGCCTCCTTGTGCTAGGCACTGTACTTTATCTATTAGGTGTATTATGGTAGAGCCTAAGAGCCCCAGCCATGGATCCTGGCCCTATTGTGCAAGGCGCTGTACAAACCTAGAACAAAAAGATGCCAAATTATCCTTATTTTCACCTCATCATTTGTCTGATTGGACGGTGAGCTCTTTGGGGCAGAGATTGTCTCTCACTAATTGTCCAGCACAGTCTTGGTTGGTTCCTCTAACAACACTGTGCAGCGCAGGCTGCATCTACAGCCCTGCCTGATGGTGATTCAGCCTTGGAGCTTTGCAATCCGGCCCTAGAGAAGGAAGGGACCATGTTCTAGCTCAGCACTGGGGCATGAAAGCGTCATTGCCGGGGCAACTAGCATCCAATAAGATCTCCTTGCGGCACCGAAGAATTGAGAAGGGTCATCTGCTTGGAGAGGGCTTCGAGCACCTCTTTATGCCGGTGATTTCTGCCCCTTTGCTTCCCCCCAAGTGCCAAGGAGTTCAAGGATCTCGGCACAGCTCCATGCTGCGGCACGAGGCGCTGCATGATAGTGAACAACGCTGCTCAATGCTGAGGTGCACAACTCCAGGAGTATCCTGGCTTCACACCAGCATTGGAACAGGCAGGTGACATCCAAGCGATGAGACCCCAGGGCAGGGGAAGGCAGATGGATAAGCAGAGAGGCCGATCCTGGCGAAACGCACAGCAGTGTGGGATAGCGGTGGGCGGACCTTCAAGCTCCTGCCAACGAGCCAGTGCCTTTGTCCATCCTAAATACGCAATGATTTCAATCCACTTACCAAGCGGATTGTATTTTTCCAGCATGGTCCAACCGTTTTTCAACGCTGCGGGCCAGAGGTTAATTTTGGGGCTACCTCCGTGGCCCTCGTGCAGAAATATAATTCCAGATTCTAGTATCAGATCAGTTTTGAAGGATTTAGCCACTAATAGGGTTCAGAAGTAATAAAATTAAATTAAATAAAAGAATAGCTCACCTCCTCGTGAAAACCCCGGGGAAAAGGTTTTTCTCACACTAGACTCCCAAGGTCGACAACAATAGTCGTATCGGGAAGTCAGAGACAGCAAGGCATTGTGATTGTCCGTTACTTTCCACCACTCAAGCAGTCTTCCACGCTGTATTCCCCACATCAACTTTCCTGAATGGCAGCCATTGCAGTTACTTGTCCCCTTGCGCTCAGATGACGGTTGCACCACAGTTTAACGGGCCATGCTCCAAATCCCCGGCGCGCACCCCACCGAAAACCACAACACGCCGATACGCTCGCAGCAGAAGCTCAAAAGCAGCAACCCTCCTGCCTCACGGAGGAGTCCATAGCTGCAGCCTCACAGCCGCGGGGCTGCATGCAGGTGAAAATCACTCGAGGACTAGATGGAATCGCTGGCCGGGGGGAGGGAAGGTGGCAGATCCTGATAATGGGCACACGAGGGACGCTGGCGTTATTTTTCCAGCTGATTTCCGTCTTTGTCACCCCGTTGCTTTCCAGATGCTCGCGCCCTTCGAGTTGATCCGGTACAACGTGGAGCAGGATGAACCCGTGCGAGATGAGAGAGGGTGCTGCATCCGAGTCCCCCCCGGTAAGAATAACAGGCTGGCCATCGGGAGGCACTGATGCGGGGAGTGGGCCCCTTGGGGAGGACGCATGGTGCAGCGGTTACAGTCTTAGCCTAGGCTCAGATCCACTGAGCATAAGGGAAACTCGGTGCCTAAATACCATTGAAGATCTGTGCCTCGGTTGCTGTTTTGTGAAATGAAGCTAATAGCCCAGCCCTACCTTACAGGGGGAATTGTCAGAATCAGAGCATTAGAAGACTGTGAGACACTCCCGTACTCACAGCAGCCACATAAGTCCCCTAACTAGAGAGTGGAATAGTTGATAGCAGGGACGAATGAAAGCCACGGAGCTGGAGAATCTGCAATACTCATGCCCCGTTGTTTTCAGAGGGGGGATGGCAAAATCAGTTCAATGTCACCAGCCCTGTCCTCGGTTGTTTTAACCCATTTCATGCACACATCGAATAGACAAGGTTTTCACAGATTTCCTGGTGCGTTTGGATTTAAATAGCTAATTCGGTTGAAGTGTCATTTAAGAGAGTCAGTCAAATACTTCATACAGCACTATACAGAATACAGAAAGGAAATGTACATACCAGTCTGAGACTGGAGAAATTAGGCATCACTTTTCACTTCACTTTGCTTCTAACTCCCCCAAGTCATGCCTTATATACTGGTTTTGGAGAAAGAAAATCCTTGAAAATCTTTCTTTCTCATGCTCTGATCTGATTCTGAAAATTATCAATTTACCGAATCAATAAGCCAATGACAGGTGTAACTATTGTATCTGTACTGAGACCATCTGTAGCCATAATTAGCTCTTAATGACTCAGACATCAGTCAATACATTACTCAATGCTGTGACATTGATTATAGCACACGTCCGCTGTACCAAATGTGCCCTGTGCGTTTTATCAATTACATGTTGTCATTTATAACCTTCCTTCACCAATTACACCATCTCGTCCACTACAACACACATCGAAAGTAAGGCATGTGGACTAGGTCAGCAAGGTCAGGGGAAAAGCAGATGAGATGGTTAAATACAGTCCTACTTTAAATTACAGACATCCATTAGTCTAAAACAAAACAGTCTTTGGCATTAGAGTTGGTAATATTTAAAAACCGGACACTCCAGCAGGAGTCCTGGAACCTCCCCTGCCCCGTCTCTTCCCCCTCATGGCCTCACCCCCATCCCACCTATTCCCCCCAAAGCCCCGCCCCTGCCCCTGAGGCCCCGCCCCCGTCCACTCTTCTTCCTCCCTCTCCCCTGTCGCTCACTGCTTTTCCCCTCCCACTCCCTACCCCCGCCCGGGTCAGGAGGGATTTGCCTGTGGAGCCGAGGCTGGGAGCTGCAGCATTCTGATGAAGGTCAGAGTTAGGGGGAGGGATAGCTCAGTGGTTTGAGCATTGGCTTGCTAAACCCAGGGTTATGAGTTCAATCCTTGAGGGGGCCATAATGGGATCTGGGGCAAAAATCTGTCTGGGGATTGGTCAAGCAGGGAGTTGGACTTGATGATCTCCTGAGGTCCCTTCTAACCCCTATATTCTATTAAGGTAGGAGGCAGCCCTAGCTGTGTAGGGGTTGGCACAGATGATGACCCAGTGCCTCCCTGACTTGCAGTAACTGGACTTTGGGTGTCCAGTCAGTAGATCTGACCAGACACTGTTGGGTCCCCTTTTTGACCAGACTTTCCCGACTAAAACTGGGCACCTGGCCACGCTAGAGTTTAGACAGTATTTTGGTTTAACACAGAAAAGATTCTAGAATTTTTTGGTCAAAGAATCACAATAGTTAAATAGAGAAGAAGCATACAGTACTAACATAGTCTAGTCCGACCTCGTGCATATCACAGGCCAGAGATCATCACCAAGTAATTCCTTCATCAAGCCCAGAACTTCTGATTGAGTTACAGGGCGACATTGTCGACAATCATCCAGGGTATGTCTGCACAGCAACTAGACACCCGCTGCTGCTGGCCCGTGGCAGCTGACTCTGGCTTGTGGGGCTCGGGCTGCGGGAAGGTTTCACTGCTGTGAGGAGGAAGGGTCCCAGAGCCCAGGCTCCAAGCCGAGTCCGGAAGTCTACAAAACTTCCAGCTGCTCGGTGCGCCACCCCCAGAGGAGTGAAACCAGCCCCCAGCTACCAGTTCACTTTGGCACACATGCCACGGCGTGCACACCGGAGCCAGGCTCGGGGTGGAAATAAATGAAAGGTTTATTTGATAGAAAAAATCCCAGACTCTGAGAAGAAACAGCAAAGGGGACGCCAACACACACACACACACACACACACACACACACATACACACACACGTTATGTTACCCCGGAATTTGACCTTCCTGCATGTACCCCAGAACTTGACTATTCTGCAGTCGGCCATTCTGTATGTGCAGCCACTGCCGGCTGAAAACCAAACATCACATAGCTAGGAAAAATCTTTGACCTTTGTGAGACAAGGTCAGACAGCTGCAGACTTGCAGTTTGCTAATCAGAATGGGAGGATGGGAGAGAAAGTTCTGGAAGAGAGTGAGTGAATAGCGGCCTTGGTTTTAGGTGCCCCTGACATATTGTTGTTATGGCTAGAACTGTTTTGAGATAATGAGGAGAAATGCTGACTCAGTCGAGGTTATTCTTCTGACCCACTAGGAGTCACTGTAGAGTTAGAGTTAGCTATAAAAGATTTGGTAAAAATAAATACCTCAGATCAGTCTGAGGGAGCTTTTCTCCAGGCAGTGAGCTAACATCTAAACTCCCCATCAGCTGGAGACAGAGACTTGGTGGGGTAACTCGCATGACTGGAGTACTGTCATGGATAGGTATAAACTGTTCAGGAAGGACAGGCAGGGGAGAAAAGGTGGAGGGTTGCAATGTATGTAAGAGAGCGGTATGATTGCTCAGAGCTTCGGTATGAAACTGGAGAAAAGCCTGTTGAGAGTCTTTGGGTTAAGTTTAGAGGCAAGAGCAACAAGAGTGATGTCGTGGTGGGCGCATGCTATAGACCACTGAACCCGGAGGATGAGGTAGACGAGGCTTTCTTCGGACAATTAACTGAAGTTTCCAGAACACGGACCCTGGTTCTAACGGGGGACTTCAATCACCCTGACATCTGCTGGGAGAGTAATACAGCAATGCACAGTCACTCCAGGAAGTTTCTGGTGAGCGTTGGGGACAACTTCCTGGTGCAAGTGCTGGAGGAACCAACCAGGGGTCATTTTCCTCTTGACCTGCTGCTAACGTACAGGGAAGAATTGGTAGGGGAAGTAGAAGTGGGTGGCAACCTGGGCAGCAGTGACCATGAGATGGTTGAGTTCAGGATGCTCACAAAAGAAAGAAAGGAGAGTAGCAAAATACAGACCCTGGACTTCAGAAAAGCAGACTTTGACTCACTTAGGGAACTGATGGGCAGGATCCCCTGGGAGGCTAATATGAGGGGGAAAGGAGTCCAGGAGAGCTGGCTGTATTTTAAAGAAGCCTTATTGAGGGCGCAGGAACAAACCATCCCAATGTGCAGAAAGAATAGCAAATATGGCAGGCGACCAGCTTGGCTTAACAGAGAAATCTTCGGTGAGCTTAAACACAAAAAGGAAGCTTACAAGAAGTGGAAACTTGGTCAGGAGGAGGAGCATAAAAATATTGCTCAGGCATGCAGGGGTGTAATCAGGAAGGCCAAAGCACAATTGGAGTTGCAGTTAGCAAGGGATGTGAAGGGTAACAAGAAGGGTTTCTACAGGTATGTTAGCAACAAGAAAAAGGTCAGGGAAAGTGTGGGACCCTTACTGAATGGGGGATGCAACATAGTGACAGATGACATGGAAAAAGCTGAAGTACTCAATGCTTTTTTGCCTCGGTCTTCACAGACAAGGTCAGCTCCCACACTGCTGTCCTGGGCAACATAGTATGGGGAGGAGGTGAGTAGCCCTCAGTGGTGAAAGAACAGGTTAAGGACTGTTTAGAAAAGCTGGACATGCACAAGTCCATGGGTCTGGATGTAATGCATCTGAAGGTGCTGAGGGAATTGGCTGATGTGATTGCAGAGCCATTGGCCATTATCTTTGAAAACTCGTGGTGATCGGGGAAAGTCCCAGATGATTGAAAAAAGGCAAATATAGTGCTCATCTTTAAAAAAGGGAAGAAGGAGAACCCGGGGAACTACAGACTGGTCAGCCTCACCTCACCTCACCTCAGTCCCTGGAAAAATCATGGAGCAGGTCCTCAAAGAGTCCATTTTGAAGCACTTGGAGGAGAGGAAAGTGATCAGGAACAGTCAACATGGATTCACCAGGGGCAAGTCATGCCTGACCAACCTGATTGCTTTCTATGATGAGATAACGGGCTCTGTGGATATGGGGAAAGTGGTGGACGTGATATATCTAGACTTTAGCAAAGCTTTTGATACAATCTCCCACAGTATTCTTGCCTGCAAGTAAAAAAAGTATGGATTGAATGAGTGGACTATAAGGTGGATAGAAAGCTGGCTAGATTGTCGGGCTCAACGGGTAGTGATCAACACCTCTATGTCTAGTTGGCAGCCGGTATCTAGCAGAGTTTCCCAGGGGTCAGTCCTGGGGCCGGTTTTGTTCACCATCTTTATTAATGATCTGGAGGATGGGACGAATTGCACCTTCAGCAAGTTTGCAGATGACACTAAGCTGGGAGGAGAGGTAGATACGCTGGAGGGTAGGGATAGGGTCCAGAGTGACCTAGAGAAATTGGAGGATTGGGCCAAAAGAAATCTGATGAGGTTCAACAAGGACAAGTGCAGAGTCCTGCACTTAGGATGGAAGAATCCCATGCACTGCTACAGGGTGGGGACCGACTGGCTAAGCAGAAGTTCTGCAGAAAAGGACCTGGTGATTACAGTGGACGAGAAGCTGGATATGAGTCAGCAGTGTGCCTTTGTTGCCAAGAAGGCTAACGGCATATTGGGCTGTATTAGTAGGAGCATTGCCAGCAGATCATGGGAAGTGATTATTCCTCTCTATTCAGCACTGGTGAGGACACATCTGGAGTATTGCATCCAGTTTTGGGCCCCCCACTACAGAAAGGATGTGGACAAATTGGAGAGTCCAGTGGAGGACAACAAAAATGATCAGGGGGCTGGGGCACGTGACTTACGAGGAGAGGCTGAGGGAACTGGGCTTATTTAGTCTGCAGAAGAGAAGAGTGAGTGGGGATTTGATAGCAGCCTTCAACTACCTGAGGATGGAGCTTGACTGTTCTCAGTGGTGGCAGATGACAGAACAAGGAGCAATGGTCTCAAGTTGCAGTGGGGGAGGTCTAGGTTGGATATTAGGAAACACTATTTCACTAGGAGGGTGGTGAAGCACTGGAATGGGTTACCTACGGAGGTAGTGGAATCTCCATCATTAGAGGTTTTTAAGGTCAGGCTTGACAAAACCCTGGCTGGGGTGATTTAGTTGGGGATTGATCCTGCTTCGAGCAGGGGGTTGGACTAGATGACCTCCTGAGGTCTCTTCTAATCCTAATCTTCTATGATTCTTTGATTCTATGGAGGGAAAGAGGGCCCCTTGGAAGTCCGGCTGGTGATTACTCAAAACCATATCAGACTGTGAGTAACTATATCTGGGATGTCCTAAACCTATTGCCTGTGTGTGTGTGTGTGTGTGCTTAATAGCTAATAAATAGTAGTTTTAGATAAGAGCACGTTCGCTTGTATCAATCATTTATCAGATGGAAATTGCTGTGTCCCCACTGATTTGTTCCTGACACTTCCTGGAGTGAGACAGTTGAGTTACCCCTGGGAGACCCCGGGTAACCGTTACCCAAAAATTAAACATCAGGATGCACCTTCAGGCTTTATGCCTCTATATTAGCTAAATTCTCTTTTCTAGCAGATGTTACCTATTGCCTCTGAACGGGTTCCCAGCGTACCCCCGTCATCTTTGAGGAGATCCAGTGTTTCACGGACAGTTTCCCGCTTAGGCTGCCCCCCGGTTTCTGGATAAAAAAACCTCAGGCACAAGCTTTTCCCCCCTTTTTGTTTCTTTTTCCTGGCATGATGACTCACGTTTATTTAGAGTAGGTGAAACTCTCTCCTTTCTTAGGCCGGGCCTACACTAAAAAGTTAGGATGACCCAGCTACATAGGTCAGGGGTGTGAAAAAGCCACTCCCCTTGAGCGACATAGTTAAGCCGGTGTAGACAGTGGTGTAGACCCTTCCATCAAGCTAGATACCTCCTCTTGTGGAGGTGGATTACCTACGCCAATTGGAGGACCCTGAAAACTGGCCGGGATGGGCTGGGCTACGTAGGGGGATATCCATCGGGATTCTCATTCTCCCTTCCAGGTGAGGCAGGGCTTCTGGTGGCGAAGATAACGAAGAGCGCCCCATTCAACGGCTATGCGGGCGACCGCCAGAAGTCGGAGAAGAAGATCCTGAGGGATGTGATGAAGAAAGGAGACCTCTACTTCAACAGCGGAGACCTCCTCATGGTGGACCACGAGGGCTTCGTATATTTCCAGGACCGGGTGGGAGACACGTTCCGGTAGGTTCTGGGGCAAGCCATTACCCTCCTTTGACCCAGCTGCTGTCCCCTCCCGGGTGGGATGACCTGGGGAGCCCGATGCTGGTAGCACCTATAAAACCCTACGAGGGACTGGGACCCTATTGTGTGATGTGCTGTACACACAGGTATAACAATAACTAGTTCTCACAGAGCAATTTACAACGGTGATAAGGCTCGTTGCCTCCATTTTACAGATGGGGAAACTGAGGCACAGAATGGGGATGTGACAGGCCCAAGGTCACCCAGCAAGAGACCTGGGAACAAAACCTAGGTCTTCTCAGTCCCAGTAGGGTGCCACATCCGCTAGGCCACACTGCCTCCCCTCTGCTACAAAAAGATGGTCCAGGAGTCAAAGAATTTACTGTCTAGATCTGGCTGGGTTTTCAAAGGAGCCTAACACAGATTGCTCTTGTGCGCCTAACCCCCATAGGCCAATGCAAGCAGGGGGTGGATGCATCAGCCATAGAAGATAAAGTCCACGGGAAAAACTGTCAAAAGCACTAAAGTAACTTAGGCGTGACTTGTGTCTGCACAGCAAAAATAAATAAATAAATATTTGAATAAATAAATAAAATACACACCCTGTGGCACTGAGTTTAGAGCTCAGATCAACTGGTTTGGGCTTGCAGGGCTAACACTGCCGGGCTAAAAATAGCAGTGTAGATATTCGGGTTCGGGCTGGAACCCAGGCTCTGAAACCCTCGCCTCTCACCCCATTCCAGCTGAGCACAAACATCTACGTGGCTATGTTTAGCCCCCAGAAACCAAATCAGTTGACCTGGGCTTTGAAACTTGCTGCTGTGGGTCTCTTTGTGCTTGTGTAGACATACCCTAAGTGTTATTTTGAAAAGCAACTTAGGGCTTGTCTACAGCACATGCTTTACTGGTATAGCTAGGACAGCAGAGCCCCCTGGTGGAGACACAGTGTATGCCAACAGAAGGCGTTAAACCATAGTGAGGCCTGGCAGAATTCGATTATTATTTTTTTATAATGTCAACGGATGATAGCGATGTGTCTTTTAAAGCCTTTTTTTTAGATGTTTATCCATGTAAATTTTCACAGCTGCACAAAATCCTGCAGGGGGGAGGGTCAGACAATTATTTAGTGTCAGTAGATGTTGAGGTTCAAAAAGTTAAAATCTTTATAAACCACTAAAAAAACAAATGACCAACATCGCATGTCAAAATTTACAAAGTAAATATCCTTAAATCAACAAATAATACCTGGTTTTATTGTTCATCCATTTCAAAAGGCTACATCACTGGATTGTGATTCTAAGAAGCAGCCTTATTCTTAATTTGCCGATCTGCACATTTAGATGATTATCGATGGAAATATTTTTTCGTTGGTTTGTGTGTGTATGTGTGTTTTTTCATCCGTTTGTGTACCAACATTTACCTTCTAAGCCTAGAGGAGGCTTGTCTAGATGATCACAAAGGCCCCTTCTGGCCTTGAAATCTATTGATCAATGTGGGTGGATGGATGGATGGAAAAATAGATTCCTCTGTTCTCTCTCTTCAGCTGGAAAGGAGAGAACGTTGCCACGACGGAGGTGGAGACGACGCTGGTAGCAGTGCAGTTCATTCAGGAAGTCAACGTCTACGGGGTGCCGGTCCCAGGTGCGTACCCAGCAGCAGGACATATCATGTCACTTTGACACTGTGGCTCACCCCAAGAGCGTCCATCCTGAGGCGTCTTTTAAAAGCCATTGCGTAGCATGTCTGTGTCGGGGTCTGAGTCTTTCTTTGCACGGGGAGGGACCCTGGGATGGAAGAAAGCCGTGCAAAGCATGGAGGAATAGTTCTCTCCACTGCAGAAATCACTGTGTTATTCAGGAGGTGAGGCTTGATGCTCAGAGCAGTCTGAAAAATCTACGGATCCTTCCATGAACAATCTATGCCCAGGCCTCAGCATATGGTCATTAGAGCTGTGCAAATAGTGGAGATTTTAGTTCACTGGCCGTTCTGAAAAATACAATAAAAAAATTGTTTCTGGTCGAACCCAATGATCTAAGGTCTGGAAACCAGCCTTATAGTGAGAGACTAAAACAACTCCGTCTGCTGAGTTTATCGAAGAGATGAGGTGCCATGAGCAAAGCCTACAACTTCCTACATGATATGGCTCTTTCATCTAGCACCACAAGGCTCCACCGATGGCTGGGCGCTAGACAAACTCAGGCTAGTGATAAGATGCAAATGTTTAAGAGTGAAGGGAATTTGCCCGTGGAGCAACTGGTCTAGGGACGTGGTCAAGCCTCCATCACTTGAAGTCTAAGTGTCTCTTTCTAAAGGATCTGCTGTAACTTAAACAGAAGTTGTGGTCTAGTGGTTAGGATTTGGTGCTCTCACTGCCATGGCCTGGGCTTGATTCCTGGTTAGGGAAGTAAGCATTTTGGAGGGGAGGGATAGCTCAGTGGTTTGAATATTGGCCTGCTAAGCCCAGGGTTGTGAGTTCAATCCTTGAGGGGGCCTCACCTAGGCTAGGATATCCAGGCGTTATGTTAGCACCTCATAGGGTATGTCTACACTGCCCAGCTAACCTGGGCCCCCGCCCTGGTTTTAGCTCAAAAGTCTCTCCAGTTCACACAGAAAAAATCTCTGGCCTGGGTCCGGAAGTGCTTTCAGTCTGGGTTAGAACCCGGGCTCTGCTTTCACTCGGGTTGGAACCTGCCTGCTTTCCAGTGAGGCTAAATCACTTGAATATGGATAGTCCTCCAATGCCCTTCCCACAATTCCCCCCAAAGGACAGACGAGCTTTCCTGCCACTGATGCTATAGACTGGGAAAGAAGCCTAGAGCGTCTGAGCGCAAAGAACCATGGGCTGTGCCCCCAGACACAGACATGAGTGAGTGCAGAGACAGTAACTCAGGTAGGGCTTTGCAGTGGAGAGGCTCTCACCCAGGCTAGGCTAACCCAGGTGCTCAGACCCGGGATAACTGGGCAGTGTAGACAGAGCCAAAGTTAACCTGTGCCAGCTAATGCCTGCTTCACATAACACCTTAAAACACCTAATCTAGACAAAGCCCGACGCTTTGTGTGTGTGTTTCAGGACACGAAGGCAAGATTGGAATGGCAGCAATACGACTGAAGGAGGGGATGGATTTTGATGGTGAAAAACTCTACACACACGCCAAGGATTTCTTGCCAAACTACGCCATTCCTCGCTTTGTCCGCCTGCAGGTAAGAGATCCTTTTGGCTGGCCCTTTAAGCCTCGGGGGGGGGCTGGAGGACCCTGACTTGGTTGGTAAATTGTAGGGGCAAAGGCTTGATCACACTGTGGTTCGTTATGGAATATAGTCAAGAGGCCAAATAACCAATGTCAGTCAGGTTTATTGCCACTGTACAAGGAAAAGGTTCGGTGTGATACCACTCTCCGGAAAACCATCTCATGCAGCATTGTTAGAACCTGAACATAAGAACAGCCACACTGGGTCTGACCAATGGTGCATCTAGCCCAGTATCCTGTCTTCCCACAGTGGCCAGTGCCAGATGCTTCAGAGGGAATGAACAGAGCAGGGCAATTTATCGAGTGATCCATCCCCTCTTACATTCACCTTACACAGAAATTGTGTTCCCGAGTTACCCCCGTAAAGCTGTCTTTGTATACCCTACCTGTTTACAAGTAAAAGGTACTGATGTGTACATCATCTGAGACTAGATTTAACCAATCAGCTCTCTAGGTAACCTGGTCCAGCACTGGCAGAACTTCTTCTGTTGCATCTCCACTCGGGAGCTCTGCTGGCATAGCTATACCAGCCAGTGCTCTGAGTAATGCTGTTCCCCTCCTCCAATGGGGGATGACCAGGGACAAAGCTAAAATTCTAGAGCTAAAAGCATCAGCCTCTGCCTCTTTGAGCTAAAGGAGCGACTCCACTAGCAGGCAGCTGCAGTAGACTCTTATCCTCTTATGTGGCATAGAGTGAGCCAGCTCCTGCAGAACTTTGTATGTTTTGTTACACAGGACGCTCTGGAGGTCACGGGGACATTCAAGCAGTGCAAAGGGCGGCTGGTGAAGGAGGGGTTCAATCCAGCTCTCATCAAGGACCCCCTGTTCTTCCTGGATGAATCGAAGAAACGTTTTGTGCCCATGAGCCCTCAGATCTACAGCTCCATCCTGGAAATGAAACTGAAACTCTAAGGGTCTCACTGCTGCCTTCTGTAACTAATGTGTTAACGGTCCTGGCAATGAAGCCAGGATGCCCCCAATTTGGGTTTCTCAGGATCCATCCAAGGAGGGGTAATTGCCTCCAGTTCTGTTCTAATCTGGTGATAATCTCGTGATTTTGTAATGATGGCTTTGTGGATATTCTGCTCTCCGAGAATCTTGCAGAAAATATAGGGTTTTTTTCGCAGGAGGAAGGGGAGGTTCTTTAAATGTGAATTTCACCCTTGAAACTTCTCACCCTCTGTTGTAGCTCATATTGAACTCTGTGATGTGGAAAAGATTTGTGATTATAGAAGTGAGAATTTTTTTTTTGGCGGATAGTAAATCCCCCCTCCCCCCAAATGCATTTTTCGGGGCACTGAAACTATTTGCAAATTCCAGTCAAGCTCATAGAAAGATAGGGCAGGAAGGAACCTCAAGAGGTCATCAAGTCCAGCCCTCCACGCTGAGGTAGGACCAAGTAACCCTAGATCATCCCTGAAAGTTATTTGTCCAACCTGTTCTGAAAAACCTCCAATGACAGGAATTCTACAACCTGTTCCACAGCTTAACTACCCTTACAGTTAGAAAGTTTTTCCTAATAACTAACCTAAACCTCCCTTGCTGCAGATTAAGCCCATTAATTCTTGTCCTGCCTTCAGTGGACAGGCAGAATAACTGATCACCATCCTCTTTATAACAGTCCTTAGCATATTTGAAGACTCTTATCAGGTCCCCGCTTCTGGCTTCTTTTCTCAAGACTACACATGCCCAGTTTTTTCAACTTTCCTCCTAGGTTTAATCATTTTTGTTCCTCTCCTCTGGACTCTCTCCGTTTTGTCCACCAATTCAGTGAATAGTTTTGGCCATAAAAATCCCCCAAAACCAAAATTTCGAAATGGTCAAAACGGTTCATTTTGAGCTGTGCTGCTCGGAGGACCTTTCCCAGACCTGAAGAAGCGTTCCATGTGGCTCGAAAGCGCGTCTCTCTCACCAGCAGAAGATGGTCCAATAAAAGATATTATCTCACCCATCTGGTCTCTTCATTTGGAATCGATAGTTAATGTCATTTTGAATTCATTTGAAATGTTCTGTTTGACCTGAATGGAGTTTTTGGAGGTTTGTTTCAATGAGCCGAAAAACATCATCAGTTTCGGTTTGAAGCAAATCCAGTTTTGTTTTGTTTATTTTTAAGTTTCTGGTTTGGACACCTGTCAGGAATAAGAGCCCACAGCTAGTCTGGTTACCTGCTAGCTTAACCACCTCACAGTAATGATGCAGCTGGCTGTCAATTTAGCCACCTGATTGACCCCGTTGGGCTTCCCTCCAAGCCCTTTCCCCTCGGCTTCCCAAGAATTCAGTTCAACCCCAGATTTCGTTACTCACGTACCTTTATGCAACATACAACAAAGCAGTTCTGAGTTGATCAGACTCACGCTCAGTGGGCGGATGCAGGTCCAAAGTGATGCAGAAGCCCTCTTCCTTTATATGCATTTGCTCATACATTGCATTGGGTACGTCACGTCAGAGGTTCTCAACCTTTTTCTTTCTGAGCCCCTCCCCCCAACATGTTATAAAAACTCCATGGCCCACCTGTGCCACAAGAACTGGTTTTTCTGCATCTAAAAGCCGGGGCTGGCGTTAGGGGGTAGCAAGCAGGGTGATTGCCTGGGGTCCCCATGTCCTAGGGGCCTCCACGAAGCTACATTGCCCAGACTTCAGCTTCAGTCCTGGGCCCCTGATTGAGAACTACTGTGTTACATCACAGGTCATTCCTTTGTTGGGACCAGTCCCCATACAGCGTGCTCTGCCTACACATTACTTACGCTTTACCTCATCTTACGTGCCGTGTGTATCCAGGCCATTGCTGTCTTGTCCATTGTAAACTGTCCCCCTTCTCTTAGCTAATACACACATCCTATCTCCAGCCTGCTGAGCCATTTACCTCCCCAGTCATGCTTCCTGCGAAATGTGGCCTCACCCTTGTCTAGTTTCTCACCTCAAGCCAGGCCTACGGGCTCGACTGCCCGATAGGCTGAGGGGATCAGCAGACCTGCTCTTAAGCCCAGCCGCAGGGCCCCTTCTGTGCAAAGCTTTCGCCCGCTTTCACTTTTTTAAAAGGATGCCCAAACCTGGTAATGGGGAAAAGGTCTTAAGTGTTTCCTTTTCTGCCTTGGGTAAGTAACTGGAGGACTTCATTTCAAAGAGCCGGATCTTGGGGCCATTTCTCTGAGTGTGAGTCCATTCTCCGGGCTTGTTAAAAATGAATTAACTACAGGGGAAGTTGACGTGCATAAATTAAAGCACAGTAATCCCCAGGGTGGACACTCATTCCAAAGTGGATTTAGGGCTTGTCTACACTCCAGAGCCTTGGCCAGCAGAGACCCCTAGTGGAAACTGGAGAGGGTGCAGAGAAGGACCACAGTATTGAGTTAAGGCAGAGGTGGGCAAACTACGTCCCGGGGGTTGCATCCGGCCCTTCAGATGTTTTAATCTGGCCCTCGAACTTTCACCAGGGAGCGGGGTCTGGGGCTTGCCCCACTCCGTGCGGCTCCCAGAAGCAGCGGCATGTCCCCCCTCTGGTTCCTACACATAGGAGCAGCCAGGGGGCTTTGCACACTGCCCCTGCACCAAGCACTGCCCCTGCAGATGGGTCAGCGCGCAGAACCGCCTGACTGAGCCTCCACATAGGAGGCAGAGGGGGGACATGCCACTGCTTCCGGGAGCTGCTTGAGGTAAGCGCCACCCACAGCCTGCTCCCCCGTCCCGCTCCTGTACCCCAACCCCCTGCCCCAGCCCTGATCCCCCTCCTGCCCTCCGAACCCCTCCATCCCAGCCCGGAGCATCCTCCTGCACCCCAAACCCCTCATCCCCAGCCCCACCCCAGAGCACGCACCCCCAGCCATAGTCCTCACCCCGCACACCCGAATCCCCAGCCCAGAGCCCTCTCCCACACCCTGAACTCATTTCTTGCCCCACCCCAGAACCTGCACCCCCAGCCGGAGCCCTCACACCCCAACCCCTAATGTTGTGAGCATTCATGGTCCGTCATACAATTTCCATACCCATCTGCTGAAGTGAAAAGACAGATTGACAGAGCCAGACGAGTACCCAGAAGTCACCTCCTACAAGACAGGCCCAACAAAGAAAATAACAGAACACCACTAGCTGTCACCTTCAGCCCCCAATTAAAACCTCTCCAGCGCATCAAAGATCTACAACCTATCCTGAAAGATGATCCCTCACTCTCACAGATCTTGGGAGACAGACCTGTCCTCGCTTACAGACAGCCCCCCAACCTAAAGCAAATAGTCACCAGCAACCACACATCACTGAACAAAAACACTGACCCAGGAACCTATCCTTGCAACAAAGCCCGATCACAACTCTGTCCACATATCTATTCAAGTGACATCATCATAGGACTTAATCACATCAGCCATACCATCAGGGGCTCGTTCACCTGCACATCTACCAATGTGATATATGCCATCATGTGCCAGCAATGCCCCTCTGCCAGAGTGACCAGAGGAGGCGCCATTTTAGCAGTGAATGGAGCACCCGTCACAGGCCCTCCGGGTTCTCAGCATTAGGAAAGGTTTGCTTGGGTGGAGGCCTCAGCCGCCTTTATAAATGAACCTAGGACGAGTATCCCCGGGGAGAAAGAAAGATAAGGCTGCAGCCATGCCTCAGCGGTCGGTTACATGAATAATTCTGTAAGGTTTACCAGAGAAAGCACAGGAATACTAGGTAGATTCCCTGATATTTGCCTTGGGTGATGCTGCTGAGGACATCCTCACTGATGAGGAAAAGAAAAGAATACACAAAAGTGGAGCAGGCTTTTGATGCCCATTTCATAGGCAGACAGAATATTTTATATGAAAAGGCCAAAATGTCCTGGTTAGAGGTCGCTCCGTATTCACTGCTGGAGTACAGGTGCAGTTCTTTCTCCTATCTTAGGGTCAGATTACCTGATGTTCACAATGATAATTGAATATAAAGATTCAATGGATGGAGAAGAGGAAATCAAGAGAAAGAGACAGAAAACATCAGAATAAGCATTAGGGATTTCTGCTGGGTAGAAAACATGCTGTATTTTTTTCCCTTAACCTATTCCTCGAAAGGAGTTACCTGTTGCCTCAGTAGCACTTGGCCAGCAAGTGCTCCCATTGGGGTGGTAGGTGAGTGGTGCTCCATTCGGATGAGTTGGATTCCTCTTTCCATCAATGAGAAATGCTCTCCAGAAAGCAGAGAAAATGATTGGAGATTTGAAGAATTCAGCAGGTGGGATCCCAGAGGAGCCAACTTCAGAAACACCATCCAAACAGAGCAGCACTTTCTTATTTAGTTCTTCAGAGAATGCCAGCTGTGTTTGGCTACTGTTCCTGAGAATGTCTGGGGAAATGGGGGCAGCTAACCAACAATTTCCTGACAAATATTCCTCTAGGGAAAGAGAGCTTGTGTTTAAAAAAAAAAGAGTTAAAGATGGTAACCCAGCAGTGCGCCTGTTTCTCTCAAGAAACCACATCCAAACCAGGCAGCACTATCCTACAGAAGGACCGGAGGGTGCAGTGGTTTAGATATGATTGGTTGGAATTTCCCCAGTGGAGGTTGCGAATCATCCAAGACTGAAGTACAGTTGTAATTCTTTATGCTGTCTCTGGGTAGAACTACTTGTAGTTCACAGTGATCATTCAATTTAAACAGTTGATTGGAAAGGGAGAACAGTGAGAAAACACAAGAGAGAGAGGAAACATATGAATGAGAGTCACCGTTTTCTGCTGTGCAGAGAAAATACTGATTTTTTCCCCACTTTCTTATTGAGCTCTTCAGGAAGAACATCCAAATACATTGGCACTTTGAAAAACCCCACCTATGTTTGGCTATTGTTCCTGGGAATTGTCTGACGAAATGGTGACAGCCAGTCAGCCTCTGCCTGGGAAACCTTTCTCTAAGGAAAAAGAGCATTAGTATGTGCCAAAAAAAAAAAAAATTATTAACAACCAAGTGGAGTTCTTCATTGAAACCCAGCAATGTGCTTGTTCTCTCAAGAAATCAGATCCAAACCAGGCACCACTATCATACGGAAGGACCAGAATGCTGTGGTTAAGACAGGATGGGTTAGAATTTCCTATTTTGAGGCTGTTCTGCATTCAGTGCTGGAGGCCAGGTGCAGTTCTTTGTCATATCTTACAGTGAGACAGCCTGCAGCTCACAAGGATAACTGCATTAAAACCGTGATTGGAGAAGCGGAAGCTGAGAGCAAGACATAGAGCCCGAAAACATACGAATAAGCCTTGTGGGTTTGTGCTGTCTGTAGAAAATGCTGTAGTTTTTCACTAGACCTATGCCTCAACAAGGGAGCAGTTACCTTTCTCAATATTCCAGTAAGTGCTCCCATTGGGGCGATAGGTCAGTGATGGTCCATTTGGATGGTTTGAATTTGACTTCTTATGTATAAGAAGAGTTCTCAGAGACCAAAGATTCTCCAGGAGAGTGGA